TCATAGTCATCATAATAACCGTAATGATGTCTGTTTGAAGTGTCACGGCAGTAGATTTGGACATTGTGATCCGTTGCAATCGCAAGAAGCTGTGAATAGTCGCTACGCGGCGAATACCGAACGCAGTGGACATTTCCGCCGCCACAATTGAGTGAACTTCGCTTGTTCCAACTCCACGGCTCCCATAGCTTCGTGGTGGTGTCGGATGATCCACTGGCCAGCGCCCCGGAATCCCGTGAAAAGTCAAGCGAGAATATCCAGCCACCGTGGGCTTTTTCGATTGCTCGGTTGAATTTTTCCCCAGTTTGTCCATACCAGGCGATGAGCTCTCCGCTCTCATCACCGCTTGCTATCCAATTCCCATCTGGCGATACCGCCAATGCCCGCACCCGACTGCGATGGCCCTCCATCTTCTTCAACACTACACCTGTTTTCAAGTCCCACAGACGAAGCATCCCGTCATACGAGCCCGTGACCATGCGTTCGCCCTGGAGGGCTGCCACTGCGACCACGCGATCCTCGTGATCTTCGAATGCCCGAATGGGTGTGGTGCTTGGAATAAGTGCTGCCATTTAGTGGAGCTGCAACAAAGTTGAGGTGGACTTGATGTGTGGGGGAATGGCGTCTTGCTCGAAGTTGCAGAGGTGAATGTGATTGGGCGTTTTAAACCTGATTTATAGCATCAACCTCTCACGAGACGCCCAAAACATGAGGCTATTGTCATAGATATCTTACTTGATGATCTAAACGAATGAGCTCATCTGTCCAAGTCGTGTCGCCGCAACTTTCCACATCAGTCAACGAGCCTGATCGTTGTTGTTTCAGGGGTCCACGCGGCAGATTGGAAGACGAAATTAACGGCTCACCCAAAGACGTAGTATTCCACCCGGTGATGTGTTGAGCTTCTGTTCCCTGGAACGTTCGTAGCAGAGATCCTATGGTTGCGAGGCCCTTTGATCTCTTCTGATTGTCAGCATCATGGGTGTGTGATCTGCCATTAGCATTGAAGATAATCAATTGTTTCAAACTGTGATTAACGATCACCAAATAGGTATTTACTATTCATCGATCATCGACATCCCGAGTCAACTAGAGTGGATGTGTGATAAGAGCCGGAAAATCATTTGTCAGCAGTTTCGAATCCAAAACCACCCAAGAGAGCAGATTTCTCATCTGTCCTGATGTGAGTTGGCCATGACTACTTAAGATAGACCTTGAAGGATCCATTCATGAGTGAATGTTCAAGATGTGGCAAAAGGAAAAGATTGATATTGTTGAACAGGTTTCGAACTGAGTACCAAGTGGTCAAAACGAACATCTACGAGTCGAAGAACATGCCTTGACAGTAGAATCGCATAAGATTGGCAGTCATTTGCCAACACAAAAGACACCAGGAATAAACGAGTGGATGGCTGGCACTGGCGCCGTTACGATGTTATCAACACTGTAGAAGAATATAGAGACAACATTTCCCTATGTCATACTCTCAACCATTCTCGAGTAGACATTCGTCCCACCCTTTCTGTCTCAAACTAACTGACGCGGCTTCGGACAGGTGCGTTAGAGAGTTGTCTAGCGCCTCGTCGTATGATCACTCTATGAAATATTCACCAGTTAGAATTTAGCTCGGCCTGAAACACCAAGACAGACGCGCGAGACGATATCCAGTAATGGTTTCAAGTGAAAGTAAAGAGACTCCAAAACATAGGGTAAACATGTTCAAGTCGGCTAGTATATTATGATACGAGCACCAAGGGCTATTTGAGCAATGCAGCTACCGTCAAGGTACAAATGAAAACTACTCGAGGATCTCCGTGTCTCAAACTATATGAGTAACCGCTCACTGCGAGCGCACCATCTCCATTGGAAGCATAGAGTGCGTCTCGATCTTACTTGAGAGCTGAGTGAAGTGTAGTTGATGATTATAGGTGGAGAGACGGGGAGGCATTACTGAGATACTTACCAATGAACCCAGCACGACAGCCGGCCTTCATATCATCATCAGTCTTATCCATGATGGACTGATAAGCTTCGATGGCTACTCCAAAACTACCTGCTCGAAAGAGCGCATAACATTGTTGCTGGTTCGCGATGTGCCACAAGGACTTGAGGTCCCAGCCAAAGAGCTGCGGAAAACACAGTTGAGCACGAAATAATTTGCAGTTGCGTCATATCAGCGTACCGCGACAAATTCATCGTACATCAAATGAATCGGCAATTTGTAGAAGAAAGTGCTAGCATTGACCGCGGCAGCGAAATGTTCAACAGCTTCGTTGTGGCGCGCGCCATCCAAGGCAATATTTCCCAGTTGGACGCGTAGGTATGTCTGGTGTATGAAGAGGGAAAGAAATCAATGACAGCACATGAACCTGGTGTGATCGAACGCATGGTACTCACTTCCACGATACGACAAGCAACAGGATCGACATTGGGACACGCGGCTAGCTCTCCGATGCGAAGTATTGCCTCTTGATGTTCACCTGCATTAAACAACGCAATGGCCTAAAAACCGCAATGAAGCACGGAGTACGTTAGAAAAATATTACGTGCCTTGATCAAGAAAAGGAAGTGATCGGTCTTTAAATCTCCGTTTGTGAACAAGGATGCGAGGTCAAATGATATCCTCGCGGCCAGAACCTGCTTTTTTCCACAGAGGGCAATGCCCTTGGAGATATGGCCTACTAACGATGGCTGAATGCTGACGGACTATGCCATGATCAAAGTTAACTTTTGTAAGGAAGTCATGATGAGTCAATCAGTCTCACCTGAATTGCATCTTGAAGCGCTTGGTCCCAGTCGCATTTTCGCGCCATAACAAATGCTCGATTTGCACAGGCAGTGTGATCGTTGGCGTCAGCGTCAATATCTAGATCTAGCACCTTTTCAACGGTAGGCAAGTCCCCAACTATGCACGCATTGCGGACTGCCGACTTCATAGCGAGGATCTGCGCAAATCGTGTTCACATTGCGTTATAAGAGTCAAAGATGGGAACATGCCTTGAAATCAGAGTAGGCTTGAGCCTTGGCATAAAAAGACGTTTAGATGATGAATGGCCGGGAAACAGCAGACAAAGTTACCTGGTGCGTAGCCTGCTCCTTCATGAGGCCATCCTTTGGACCATCCTCTTGTAAAGCCGCGTCCTCGGATGTTGGCCACTCTGAGATCTTTTTATCCACACCTCCACTAAGGATGTGCCTGTCATCCGCAGAGAACGTCACACAGTTCACCTCCCCAGAGTGCTTGAATATACCAATGTTTCCTCGATCTGAGAGTCGCCAGAGGCGGACACGGTTGTCATGAGATGCAGAGGCAACGAGAGTGCCGCTGGAGTTCAGAGAAATGGCGTGGATATTCTTGAAATGGCCCTTCCAGGGATCACCGACCTGCTGCCAGGTCGATGTATCCCACTCTCGTATGGTGGGATCAGCCCCGTTTCCCCCCGAGAGAAGTCGTTTGCCATCGGGCATCCACGCGAGTGAGTAGTAGAATCCTCCACCGATTGTTCCCAACAAATGAGTGGTCCATGATGTTGTATAACCGTAACTTGAATTCTTGTAAATTTGGAATATTTGGACATTGTGGTCCGTTGCAATCGCAAGAACAAAGTAGCTAGACGGCGAATACCGAACACAGCGGACATTTCCACCGCAACTGATCGAATGTTCCACCTGCCACGTTGATGTGCTCCATAGCTTCATGGTAGTGTCAGATGATCCACTGGCCAGCGTGCTGCAGTTGTACCTATCCTGTGGAAAGTCAAGCGAAAATATCCAGCCGTCGTGGGCTTTGATTGCTTGGTTGAGTGGTTCTCCAGTCCTTCCATCCCAGGCGAGGAGCTCTCCGCTCTCATCACCGCTTGCTATCCAATATCCACCTGGTGAAACAGCCAATGCCCGCACCCGACTGCGATGCCCCTCCATCTTCTTCAACACTACACCTGTTTTCAAGTTCCACAGACGAAGCATCCCGTCATACGATCCCGTGACCATGCGTTCGCCCTGGAGGGCTGCGACTGCGACCACACGATCCTCGTGATCTTCGAATGTCCGAATGGGTGTGGCGCTTTGAATGAGCGTGATGCTTTGAATGGCCGCCATTCAGTGGAGCTGCAGCACAGTTGATGTGGACTTGGTGTGTGGGGGGGTGGAGTCTTGTTCGAAGTTGCAGAGGTGCGTGTGATGGGGCATTTTATAGCATTAACCTGTCACTAGACGCCTAAAACATGAGGCTATTATCATAAGTATCTTGCTTGATGATCTAAATGAATGAGCTCATCTGTCCAAGTCGTGTCACCGTAACTTTTCATATCAGTCAACCGTTGAGCCTGATCGTGGTTGTTTCAGGGGTCCACGCGGCAGATGGGAAGACGACATCAACGGCTCACCTGATTGGCCATACCCTCAAATTTCAATAAAGTCGTCACCCAAAGACGTAGTATTCCACCCGGTGACATGTTGAGCTTCTGTTCTCTGGAACATTCGTAGCGGAGATCCTACGGTTGCGAGGCTTTCTTTTGATCTCTTCTGATTGTCAGCATCATGCCAGGTTTGTGATTTGCCATTAGCATCGAAGATAATTGATAATCGATCGTTTCAAACTCTGATTAACGATCGTCGAATAGATATTTACTATTCATCCCGAGTCAACTAGAGTGAATGTCGGTGTGATAAGAGGGCCGGAAAATCATTAAGAGAGCAGATTTCTAATCAGTTTTGGTATCGTTGGCCATGACTGCTTAGGACAGACCTTGAAAGATCCATCCATGAGTGAATGTTCAAGCTCAAGCTTAAGGTGTGGTGAAAAGAAAATATCAATGTTGTTGAGCAGGTTTCGAACCTGCTGTCCTGTCTAATTGGCTTAGCAAGACTGGTCAAGATGGACATCTACAAGTCGAAGACCACCATGGATTGGCAGTAGAATCACCTAAGATTAGCAGTCATTTGCCAATGCAAAACAAAACAAAAAGACTCCCTTACATTTAATTCGATGGACATAAAACATGCCAAGAATAAGCGAGTCGGGGGCTAGCGCTGGCGCCATTACAATGTTATCAACACTGTGGGACAACATGGAGACCACATGTCCCTATGCCATCCTCTGAACCGTTCTCGAGTACACACTCGCCCAATTCTTTTTGCCTCCCCAACTAACTGACACAACCTTGGACAGGTGCATTAGGAGGTTATCCAGCGCCTCGTCGTATGATCACCAAAGCCCGTGCCGACGGCGTCAGCATTGATATTGATATGATCGCTTTCTCCGACTCGCCGCTTCCGGCATCTGACGCGCCTGCTCTCGTCTCAAAACACTGTACAGCCGTTGATAACCACACACCATGGCACCTCCTTTGGCTCCTCAATGTCCACTCGCAGCGTCGCAAGTTCATCATACAATGGACGGTGTACGTCGATGAGACCTGTTCTATGCCGTTGCCAGCAAAACTCTCACTGGCCAGGTAGTACATGTGAAAGAGCAACACATCACGCATCGCGACTTGTCAATAACCCTCACATTAACAGTGATAGCGATTTTTGAAGGTGGGCGACTTACCCAAGAGCGCTTTGCCTGCTGGATTCGCGCTGGAAATTCAGAATACCCGTAACGCTAAATCAATCAATTACACAGGAAGGCAAGTGAGCGCAGTGAGGCAGAACAAAGGCATACACATCATACAAGCTAATATTGGTCAACGACGGAGGTTCTCCTGGCATTTGAATGCATTCGCTGACATCCTGGAGTTAACCTGAACTAACTTGATATCTACATCATTTAGCATTTGCTTCGCCAGCACTGGCAGAGTTGAGTTAATAATATTGCTAGTGTAATCCTGACAACACTTTCAACTCGACTCACCAGGGTCAGAACCCGCCACTACCCGCCACCCTGAGTATATTAGCAATAAGTCACTGTGAGATGGTAGAGTCGCATCAACAGCTTGATGTCACGAGAGTGGCACTTGAGCGTGCAAAGAGAGAACGTAAGGAATCACCAAACAAGAATGCCCTTGACAGGACTGCGAACCAGGTGGAGATGGTGGACAGCGGGTCTGCGTCATAAAGAGTATATGGCATGGTGTCGCGACGCTGGCGAGTTGAAATAAATCCGAAATTTCGACCCCACTCGTCAATGTCAGAACGACAGCCTGAAGCGTGCGCAACTAGCTGGATGCATCTAATGTGAACATGGAGTTAGAATGTGATGTTACACATACTTGTCAGCAATGATCAACGAACGAATCGGTGTGACATGTTCATCGCTAGCATTGGCGAGTTGGATTAAGTTCCCTATAGCTTGTCAGGCAACGAAGCCTCGCCAACGCCAGAACGCCAGCCCGAGGTGTGCGCGACCACCTGGATGTAATCTATGAGCATCGTTTCAGAATGAGACACCGCACATGCCACGTACTTATTGATCAACGTCAGGAGGCGAGTCTTTCCAGTACCCACAAACTCAGACCGCCGAATAAGAACACGCTGACAACACACACATTTGCTCGCAGAACCTCAAACCCATCTGACGGACACGACAGTAACGACTGGATAACGACATCAAGTTTGCATTGGTGTCTTTACAGTCAAGCAATCATGGGAAATCACGTGGCTGATACACCCCAATGCAAACGAAATGTTCAGGCACTAGGGAGCTGCGAGTAGAAATTATTGACGTTTAGCGCTAGTGAGTTATGTAGAGTGTCGCTGACTTCTACCCATCTCAACAGCGCCAAAACAACATCCTGAGGCGTGCTAGGCAACCTGTATATATGTGATCATGGATCTGATATAGGAAGTAACACGTACTTGTGAGTAATGGACCATCGAGGGCAGACAAAATAGCATCACTAAAAAAAGAAAAACTGCTCGGGGTCATGACGGCGGCACTTGAAGATCAGATGCTAATCAACGATTACGATTAAGAAGAATGAGAACGCCCTCAGTTACTACACTCATAAGGAGTGGAGCAAAGTAGAATTCACCCATCTAACCTTGGAGGTGATAACCTGCACGAGGTAGTAGCAAGGGCAAAGCGAAGAGGTGAAAAGTTTGCATTGGTGTTTGAGTCTAGTCACGATTTGAACAACAGCATGAAAAGGCACACACCCCAATGTAAACGAGGTCAGAGAAGTAGGAGCTGTGAGTGGAAAGATGGACTCCAGAGACGCGAATGGTGATCGCTTGCAAGTTGAGTTATTGCATATGAAACTCCGAAGCCAATGCTGCCAGCATCAGAACAAGGATGATACGCGACTGCCTAGGCACATGTTACCCAAGAGTTTCAAACACGGGGCGTGCACTTGTCAATGAAAAATAGCATCGGCGGGTAGAGGAGTGGCTCTTGAGCGTGCAGAAGGGGAGGAGAATAATGAATAAGAACGACCGCCATGAGTGAGCGGGATATCGATGGCAGATGACAAGGGTAGCATTCATCTCTGCAGCAGTGAGGACATCTGAGTCGCCCGTCTCAGCGGCCTTGGACGTTACAACTCATCTGAGGAAAGGACGAGGGAGAAAGTTGGCACTGAAGTATTTATAGGTCAGCGAAGATTTGAAACTCAGCTTGATCGCAATGTACAATGTGCACTTGGAGCACGCGAAATGAGTTGGATGGACGCCGCATGCTTAATTACATCGTATGATCTCGAGAGTTTTTGCAATAAAACACGTTCCAGCATCATGGAAATGAGGAAGCACAGAGACAGCATGGAGAATCTCGTAGTGAAGAGCAGCTTTGATCTGTATTTGTGATTGTTTGGTATACAGGCGGTGTTGCTGCACGCATTGACCTCGAGGAGTGCATGCTCCAGATTATAATTTCATAGCTCTTAGATATCGTTTCTACCGTCCTTCCTTTGTTCACTATTATCTACCAACTGTACTTTTTTAACTGAAACACTCAGATCAACGTTTTACGATGGTCTTCAGTCTCTTCACTCGCAAACCCGATTCACCGCCCAACGCCCAACTACACACACCCTCTCCCTCAATTTCCCACACTGACTCACCAGTGCCCCTCTTGCCAACTCCACCACCCAATTCCTGCACTACCGAGACCGAGCCCGAACCCGAGGTAACAGACCCAACAGCCCTGTATGACCTCGTACGTTCCGTCCCTCCCCAAACCCTACACGCATATACCCTTGCCCACCTCTCCCCAACCTCCGATCCCCCACTGATACCACCCTCCCCGCGCATACTCACCGCTCTCACCCATTTCTTCCACGAACTCTCCCCGCCGCCACAACTCCATTGCGTGCGCTGCCACTCCTCCTTCTTTGAACTTTCAAACACAGACACGTCCTGCCGCATTCCACATGACGATGAAAGCGCACTCGTCGATCGTGCTGCGTATGAAACGTTGTGGGGCTGCTGTGGAGGGAGCGTGGAAGGGACGGGTGATATGGGTCCCCCGGATGGGTGGTGTTATGAGGGAAGACACACAGTGAGTATTATCCCGTCTTTAAAATTCAAACACTGATTCCAGATATATAGACGGACACCAAACGCGCACGATTCCGTGCAGATTCTACAATCCATGACGATAAATTATTCTCCTGCGCTGCGAGTGGATGTCATGGCAGGAAACGCAAGCGAAGTGCATCCGTCTCCAGCAATGACCTGAGCGCCAGCATAAGGAAGACAGACAAAGCCAATGTAAACCCAAAAGCAAACGACGCTTCCTCGCCCAAGTCAGCCCGCAAACCCACCTCAAAAGCATCAACATCCAGTAATACACCCAAACCCCTCTCCAGATCCAGTACACTCGTATCCTCAGTCACGTTCGTCCAACCACGCATCAAACCCCTACCCAAATCCAACCTCCACCAATCCCACGTCGCATCACAAACCGTAGACGCCGTTTCAGAATCCGACACTGACGAACAACCACGCGAGTCAGATACACCTGCGCGTCCTACTCGAGAACGCACAAGAACGCGCCCTACTTCTGACGAACGGAAGACCCGTCTTGCTGCAGATGACAAAACGCGCACTCTTGCTGATAAACCACGTACGCGCAGTGCAGCACGAGAAGAGCGTAGTCTTTCACGCACGAGAACAGTCATGAGAGGCGGTTCTATCCGTGTGCTGCGCGAGAGGGAAAGGGAGAAAGAGAAGGGGATAAACGAGTCGGATGGGGATGATATGGGACGAGGAAGGGGAAGAGAGGTGAAGAAGAGAAAGGTGGGTGTATGAGTCGTTTGTGTTGAATGTGCGGCGTGGATGGGTATGAATGGCATATAGTATTATTCTGGTGTGTCCCTTGTTTAAGTCAGCGGACGAGTACGGCGCTGGCAGTTGATATATCTCATAACCTTCTTTTTGTATGTTACTACCCCACTATATGCGGAGATCCACCAGTTGTATCTATCCTAACTTAATCGATGTGCCAGACTGCTAGGAGGTCATCTAGGATCTACCCTGCATGAAATCTAACTGTTTAAATCGCCCAAGCCAAGTGAAACCACGACTGGAACGAGCTCACCATCATTAGACGCGTCTCGAATCTCTTTCCCACCGTGCACCACGGAAAGATACACAGCGCACTAAACAAGAGCCTTCGCCATTCACCCCAGACTCACGAAATCACACGTCTCTACGCCGGAGACACGCCACTCCTTTCTAACCAGAACTAAAGAAAGAAAAAGCAGACTTCACGGGGAGGAATCCATCGCGTACGAAGGATGAGTGTGAGGATGAGTATGCGAGCCTTCAAAGGAGGGATAGGGCGCTTAAGAATCCTTCCATCTTCCGCGGGCTTTTGCGATTCAGCATATCCCGCACTAGCGGTATATCGAGTATATTGGGAGTGAGTCTCAGGCTGGCGAGGCATGGAATGTATGTGAAACTGAAGGGGGAGATGCAGGATTTACTGGGTGTGGTTTTGTAGAAGCTCATGGCTGTGACTAAGTAGCCACTTCTTTTGCTTCGTGCTGGACGTTAAAAACTGCATCAGCGAATTAAATCAATGACTGGATAGGTTTGGGAAGAGGTACTGTGACAACATCTGTCTCCTGTTCTTCTTCCTCAAGTTCGTCATCATAAACTGGCTGTGGATCTTATCTTCTCCGTTCTCTGAAAACAGCTGAGCAAAAGATACGGCATCAAATACAGAACGAAACATCGATGATATTCATATGCCCAACATCGAACATCTTCACACAGCGCAGCCAAATCACAAGCTCATAACACCAGAAGCTACACCACAAAATAAGTAGACAACAACCAGCCTACAATTCTCACCGCAAATCAATCTCAACCGTCTCCCCAACTTCCTCCTCGCCATCATCAGATTCCACAAAACTCTTCCGGATCTCTTTCTCCACCGGAGGTGGGGGAGGAACTTCTACACTAGATGGCACGACCACCGCCACGGGCGTCATCTCATCTTCATTTATACGGTTTGAACCTGCCTCGGGCTCGGACTTGGGAGTAGGCGGTTGTGTAGGAATAGAGGGGACAGGTGGGACTGCTTGAGCCTGGGTTTGTGACGGCGGGAACTTGAAATTCCTATCCATCGTACCGCTGCTCTTGTGCTTGAAGTCAGAGAGCGGAGGTTTCGGCGGTTGTTCCTCTTCGTCCTCTTCCTCGTCGATCGGCCGTTGCGGCGCTGCGGATGGTGGTGTAGAGCGGCGTATTGCCGGAAGACTTTGACGCGATGCCGAGTTTTTGTGAGCTGCGCTGGAGCTGGGGAGAGAGGCTTGTGACATCGATTGGGGACGCTGGGAGTACCCAGCATTTGTGGGTGGGGTGACGCCGAGATAGTAGCCAGAGATGGGCACCATTCTGAACAAAAGGAACTGTCAATGAGAAGCTCATGGATAGATAAAACGCGCATATACGTACTTCTTTTCGCTATGGCACGCTAAAATCCACTGCGGTTGAACCACAGGGATGCTTAACTGCAAGGCGCGTTGATATTCTGCACCTGGGGCTGCTGCAACACCACCAGTTGGTTGCGCACCTGAGGGCGTGACCGCAGGAGTAGTGCACACGAAATGAGTGGTGTCGATTTGAATTTTGTCGCTCCACTTTGCGCGCATCTCTTTCAAAGCAAGCTTTGCATTTTCCAGCAACACGCTGTCTGTAACATTTGCGAAGCAAACTGAAATTCCGCTTGTGTCTGCGATCGTGTGCGTGCGCACGCGGATGAGGTTCGAGGGATAGGTTCCTGCGGAAGTACGGAGGAGGAGCTGGAAAGTGTATTGGGTATCTACGGAGAGACCAGAAAGCTTTGTGGAGTAGTTGTTAAGTGCATTAGGAATCGCGGCAAGGCGTTGGCCGTTCTTGTATATATCAAGCGAGCGTAATTTCGCGGTGGCAAGCTTGATGGGAGGCCATTCGAGCGTGACGGAGGTTTGGGTGACATTGCGGACCTGACATGACAACGAGTGAGGCGGACTGAAATAAAGTGGATGCTGCTCACCTCAAGCTGCGGATTCTCAGGTGAGTGACTTCCAAACGTCTCTAAGATATCTTCTTGAAGCGACCAGAATTCATGGTCTCGTTTCCGCTCCTGAGCCACGTTCTGGTGGACCGCGATGCTGACTATGGAACCAGTTGTTGCTCCAGGAGGAAGTAGTACTGATGGAAATTCTATGAGGTGAGCTCGGTCGCCCAGGAGGATCTGCACCGCGTCACTTTATGTTTGAGTGACGTACTGAACTTGGACTTACAGCCATCCCCGCATCTGGATTCAATGATATGAGTCTTATGAGCGCATCGAGTGCGAGTTACTTACCAAGCTTTCCGACCGTAAAAGTGAAACTATCCTGCGCTTTCGTCATGGTTGCTCGTCACGGCGAACAGTGTTGAAGGTATGTGTTAACGTGGACTGTCGTGGCTGTGCAACATTATTTCGATTCCCTTATTGGGTGATAACGTCTGTCAGAGAACCTTCGCATGGGGGACGTTCTACACTTTGTCGCAGAGTTACAGTATCCTCCGAGTTGTCCTAATCCTAGCTGTATAGAGCCCAAGTTTAGCTACCTCGGCCTTTCCATGGAGTATTATTCATAGTAAACCTTTCTATGTAGTATTGGTCCCGGCATAATTTCCATACCTTTCACTGATGATCAATACTACATGGGAAGATTCAGGTAGCTAACTTGGGCTCTATACAGCGAGGAGTACTAGGACGAGGATGCTCTGCGACAAGGCGTAGAACGTATGTTTAACCGACGCGGCGGTGGCCAAATCAGGAAATATTTAGGTTCCGCGTTTACGAGAGGACGTCCGTCAAGTCGACGTTGACAACGACATTTTTGAATTGACCAGACCTAAACCGGCCATTTCACCAACGTAGCCCTTATCTTCGGATGTTCGACTCCCTCTAACCAGGCGCCCGTGCCTGCCACATGTGCTTGCGTCAAAATGATAAAAGCTGGGTCAACCCGAGCCCAATCCTTCCTTGGTCTCTCCTGGACGCTGACCAGCACTCGGAAATCTCTGTCTTCGGTTATCCAGGCACAGCGTCACTATGTCGCGTGCTTCTACGTCTTCAGTGACCAAAGAACAGCTGTCGCCTGTTGCCAATCCCAACCCACACTCTGTATTCAGTGTCGTACGACAGAAAGTAACTACGAAGCATGGCTGGCTTGGTGACTATGATTATCGATGGCTCTGTCTGCCATCTCTTCCTACAGCTAGATGCAAACAACCGCCATTTTATGGTATCGACGACGAGCTCCCGCTCGTGCTGGCTATGACAAGCGGGTTGCAGCACGCACTCGCGATGCTTGCAGGTCTCATTGCACCACCCATCATTTTTGCCAGCTCCTTGATGCTGGACCCTGCCACATCATCCTACATGATATCAGCTTCACTCATCGGATCTGGTACGTCTGATAATAACGAACTTACACGCAGAGCTGATTTAGAAATCAGGCATTCTAAGTTTAGTCCAATTGTCACGCATGAAGTTGTGGGGGGGCTATTATCTTGGTACTGGGCTTTTGTCCGTGGTCGGGACAAGTTTTGCTACGCTCAGCACAGCAAATGCCGTATGCGTGCCTCAGTTCTGCCCGTGCGACATTATTGATGAGGTGGATAAACCCAGATTTTCAACATGATGTACGCCAACGGTACATGTCCTTCGACGACTGCTGCGGATGGCACTATCACGCGAAGCCCATGCCCAGATGCTTATGGGATGCTACTTGGTAAGTCGATCCTGACTTCCCGGTGACAGCTAATTTACCGACGTCGTGAAGGCACCTCCCTTATCTGCGCATTTTTAGAGATCGGATTGTCATTTCTTCCCCCGCGGGTTTTGCAACGAATTTTTCCTCCCATGATCACTGGTATGATTACACGGCTCGGCTTCGGTCTAAAACCTCACTTATCTCAGGCACCGTTATCCTCATGATCGGGGCATCTCTCGTCGGGTCTTCTGGCATCCTTGACTGGGGTGGTGGTTCGAATGGCTGTCAAGCGCGCCCAACTAGCGGGATCTATCAGCTATGTCCAACAGTTGGGTCTCCCCATGCTTTACCGTATGTCTGACGCATTTGAAAATATATATATTAATAACGCTTTTATGACAGATGGGGCTCTCCTCAGTTCATAGGTCTCGGATTCCTCTCTTTCGTGAGCATAATCCTCACAGAACTCTTCGGCTCTCCATTCCTCAAGAATGCGAGTATCATCGTTGGGCTTGCGGTGGGATGCATCGTTGCTGGCGCAGCCGGGTACATCGACGGGAGCACTATCACAAGTGCACCTGCAATCACATTCTTATGGTAACATATCTATTCTTGCATGTTAACACGAAGTTTGAATGTTGGGCAGGGTATATCGATTCAAGATTAATGTGTACCCACCAGCTATTTTGCCAATGCTGGCAGTTTACGGTAGGCATATCTCCCTTACTTGGGACAGGCTGGCTAAATGAAAACCCGACGTCAGTGTCAACGACAATGGAAGCTATTGGCGACATAACTGCTTCTGCGGAAGTATCCCATATCCCTGTCGAGGGAAAGGATTTTGATTCAAGAATACAGGGCGGTGTTCTGGTTCGTCTTTTCATGGACATCGTTACCAATGATGTTCTGATCTATGTTGCAGAGCGATGGGATAGGAGGATTTCTTTCTGCCTTGTTTACTGTCACTCCTCTATCGGTATTTGCTCAGGTTTGACAAGATCTTCTATCATTGCGATGCTTGGTCTCATCTTGTGCTTGGCGTAGAATAACGGTGTCATTTCTGTCACTCGATGTGCAAACCGCACAGCAGGAAGATGGTGTTGTGCCTTCCTCATTATCTTCGGTTGCCTCGGAAAGATCTCGGGGTTCTTCCTCGCAAGTGTGCCTTATGTCTCGCTGGTCCTCTTTCAGGCACTTACTATTTACAGTACCCAACCCCGTCTTGGGCGGTGTGACGACGTTCCTCTTCGCGAGCGTCGCCGTCTCGGGCCTCCGCGTTCTTTCCTACGTCAAGTACACGCGGCGCGACAGATTCATCCTCGCTGCAGCACTGTCGTTCGGCATTGGGGACCTTCTCGTGCCCGACATCTTCACTTATCTATTTGATGGTGTGAATAACCCAAGTAAAGGCCTTCAAGGGTTGTTTGAGAGCATCACGATTGTGTTAAGCACGCCCTGTCAGTCGACAAGTTTCATGCATTGTTACTATCGCACGATACTAATACCATTGATGATAGTTTTGGTATCCGGCATCGTTGCCTTGGTGCTGAACCTGATACTCCCGCAGGATATGTTACCGCAGGACGAAGATAAGGGGGAGGTGGAAGTTGCACGGGATTTAGAAATTCAGGCGGTAGAACAGGAGCGAACGATGTGATTCGTACGGCGCACGCCAGTCTCAACGTGGATACATTTGCACTTGGTGGTTGAACATTTAATCTCATGTGTGTTCCGTGAGTGAGTGAAACAGTTAACATGTCTCTGTGTGTGGTTGAATCTGCAGGAAAGGCTAGAAGGTCATGATATCATCGAATTGATTGCTTATCGAAAATTTTACCCCGCACTTTCCGCTATGTGCTACTGGTGTGCCGGCGGCGCTTTTGTATGTAGTTCCTTTCCCCCCGCTATTGGGCTAGCAGCCGGTGGCGGGGACAACTGTCCTAGCTTCAGATGTTGACGTGATTTTGCCAACCACCTTCTAGTCCAGCAACGAGTGAGGTCATCAGTGTGGGTTTCTCATCGAAATCAATATCCCTTCATCTAAACTGTATACTGCATTCTGGGTCATCCATGGCCATCCTGGACTACTTAAGGACTGCTTTTCCTGTTTATGTCCTGGTATGAATCACCTGGATTTTTTCGATTAGTTCTCAGTTCGGCTCATTGTCGTTCCGCATTTTTTTTGTGCCTCCAGGTACGTGCACTGATCATTTGAAATGTAACATTGCCAAGGCCCAACTCTGATGTGGAACAGGACGCGATAAGCAGATTTCTTAACTCGTGTCAACGGCATTTTTAAGATAGTGGGTATTCTGTATGCCCGGGTGGCCCAATAAGTCAGCCGGTAGTGGGTGAACACATATCTCACTCCTGGAAGGCTCGAACGTCCTCAACGTCAGCACAAATATGCTGTAGTGCTTGAGGTTTCGAATTCCTGACTACCCGGCAGAGAAATACTATGTTGGGGCCTTCTATGTCTTCAGTAGCTAATGAATATCCGTCGCCTGCAGCTGATCTCGTCTTGCGCTTAGATCTGTATTCAGCGTCGCATGACACAAAGTGACTATGAAGCACGCTGGCTTGGTGATTATGATTGTAGATGGCTCTGTCTACCGTCTCTGCCATTACACCGTCTATAATCTTTTCCACTTCCTTGGCGCTGGACCCTGGCACGTCATTAGCTTCACTCGTTGGATGCGATGTATTTGATCATGATCAAGTTACCTCATGCAGAGCTAATTCTGGGATCAGGCATCCTAAGTCACGGTCTAGTTCGACTACTTGTTGGGACAGAATAACAGTGTCATTCCTATCACTCGCTGTGCAAACCGCGCAGCAGACACTGTAGATGGTGTTTTTTCCTCATTCTCTTCCGTGTCCTCGGAAAGATTTCTGGGATCTTGTTCCCAAGTATGCGCTGTGTTTTGTTCTTCAGGTGTACTAACCATTTCCAGTACTCAATCCTTATCACAACATTCCGTCGCCGTCTCAGGCTGATCTCCATGTTCTTTCCTTCATCAAGTACACGCGACGTGCCAGATTCATCCTTGCCGCAGCGCTGTCGTTCTGCGTTGTGGACCTCCTCGTGCCCGATATCTTTACCTTCCTGTTTGATGGTATGAGCAACCCAAACAATGGCCTCCAACAATCGTGTAAGCGCATTGAAACCAGTGTCTGTGTTAACACATAATTGCCATTGCCTTAAGGCTGTGTCGTTCGGACAATGGCCACTGCATGAGAAGGCTGCACTTACTTGATTTAACTTGGAGTGCAGGGCGGTCAAAAAGCCAAGTCACCGACACCTTAATTCTGAAGGCTAGTGCGTCCATGGAATGGCAGGTCTCGACTCTCCTGAAACGGGGCTGTTATTGAAGGAGACCTGCCATTTTCCCGCCACCTTTAAGCAGTGGGGCTTCGAGCAAAGTTCTCCAACACGTTATTATAAATAGTTAACACTAAAAAAACATCGTGGGTCTGTTTTAAGTTTGAGAAGTCTAGTGGGATAGTGGTGTGGAGGACTAGTGATATTGACGAAGCGCTCGGCATGGAGTCTTCATAATGGTCAAACTAAGAATGAGGATAGGGAGGGAAGAGATCGATGGGAACGGATGAGTGAGACATCTTTGGGTTTCTATGGTGGTCTTCCTTTGCGGCGGGTGTAGTGGAACTTCATCTTCGGCAAATACTGAAATAGCTAATGCGATCACCTCGTCCAGCTCCTTCACCCGGTCCAGTTCTTTGATAAGCTATCATCGTGTGTGGCATTTATCAACAAGTGGATCAGCATGCCTGAGACTTCTGGGCGAGTATCAATCCATTATTACATCCGCGGGGAACCTCGGGAAGCAGATTCAGAATCACAAATAGTCCCCGCACTGAATTTCGATAACCTCAAGCTGTGGATGGAAATCAGCTTGTACTGGAGTCCTTGAAACAGGGAAGAGCCTACACTTTTCGTGTCCATATCAAATGTGTAAATTCTGTCGTCATCGATCCAAAATACAATTTCATCGTCCTGCGGAATGGACTTTCTGCTCGACACGACATCGACATAAGCCAAAGACGTTGTTACCAACTCTCCCTCTAAGTCTATCTTAGATGGCCCTCTCACCACTCGTCCTAGGCCTTGCCGGTGCCGAACAGCTAATGGACTGAAGTCCATCATATGCAATCTATACTCTATAGTAGGGTCGTACGGGTCATGATCCATGCTTCGTGCAGCATGCTGGGACTGCCCTCAAGACTCGACTCCCGCCAACGCCAACACCAAAGCTGGAGTCATGCTTGAAAATACGAGTATTTGAAGGGCCCCAAATCTTCCAAGGTATTGCCGTTGCCATTTCTTCGAAGAAGTCGAGCTCGAAAAAAGTGCTAGTGGAAATGACAAAAAGGGCCAAAGGAGGGGCTGCCAAAAGGCATAGTACTCGATCACTAGGGTCTGAGGCCCATGTTGTGTGTTGCATCCCCGTCTGTGAGATATGTGCGATATTGTCCGTGGTAGGAAAGCATTTGACGGCATCAACTATGGAAGGCAACAAGAAACATGCCAGCAACTGCGGTGCCTGGGACATATCCTCGATTGAATAGATCTTCAATTTGTCGCTGGCAATTAGCAATCTGTTGTTTCCGAGGAAACAGGAATCAATTGATTCCTCGAGCCCGTAAGCGAATAAAGTGTCCCTGAGGATGCACTAAATCGAGCATCAACCGTTAAGTCTTTTCTGAGAGGGCTCACTCACATTGGACGTTGTTGAATGTTGCCAGTCCCAAATCTGCAACCATAATAGGCTCCTGTGTGGATCATAGAGTCGCAGGAAATGCCAGAGAGCAATATGCCTCCCCAGACCGTCAAGCCTCCAACTCTCGCGCGTCTGGGTAATGCTCTGACGTCTGGGAAGCCCCTGCACCGTAGAGAGTGTCGGTCCAACAGCTCTGGGGTGGGAACCATCTCCATCCAAAGCCAAAAGGTCGATATAGGCACCCGATTTGCCAATGATTTCGTATACGACAGCAGCTAGGTTTTGCTCTGGGTCGATGAGTACACCATTGTTGTGTGCATTGGGAACTGATAACAGCGATTCAAGACAGTGCCATTCACGGTTGATTCCTTGTTTTGTGGGCTTTGGCAGTATTGAAGATATCTTGGCGAAGCCTGGGCCATTAGCGTGGCCGAGGCAGAGATGCCCATTGGAGACAAATGTTTTCTCATTTCTAAACCTTTCTGGTACAACGACTGTTTGGACAGGTCGAGTGTCAAACTTAAACCATGCGTGAGCTTTGTCCCTCAGGAGTCGTAGGCGCTCTGAAATGGGAGTGTGGTTGTGGGCTCCGAGACCGACAGGGAGCAGTTGTTGACCACCGAGTTCAACAATGTACTGAAGCTCAGAAGATGACAAGTATGTCTGATGAAGACCTTTACATACCTGTAAGATGAGTGTCAGTACAAAATCCCACTTAGGAGTATCGATGGCAACAAGGGAAATGATGCTCGCGGACGTACATCGAAGAATATCTCGGTAAGAGAGGAAGGTCAGAATGCAAGCATGGAGATCTTCAGCGAGAAACAGAAACTGGGGCCTCGTATCCTGATTCATGGTGATGAAACTTGAAAAAGAGACCAGAGTCCTGCAGGATAGGGGCTTTGAAAATTTGCCAATTTTATAATTAGGTGAGAGAGCGTATAAGTCTTGGCTCTCGCTTCCAACCATGCGACCAACCGCGTCTGATTAGTGTCAGGTCCACTTGGAAGGAGAAAAAGACTCGGCATTGGGAGATGAGATGAAAACAGTGGGAAACTTGCACATCACTACTAGTTGTTCGAATTCTTACTGTCACCCGGAATCAGATCACATGATCACTTGAAGCTGTGTATGAATTGACAGCGGTCTATCTTACGAGATCTATTCAGATTACGTAATCAGGTGAAAGTCAATCCGAGTCCCGATGTTGAAACGTTGACATGTCGACAGCTGATTACAACCGCTTTCGCAAATTTCTGACAAAGGCCATCTGGATTCTGTCTCTCTTGAATTTGCCCATACCAGCCATGTTCGATAAGCCCGTCATAGTTACTGACTCCAGAAATTCTTTCGATGTGCAAAAGTGGCCTCGAACTTCACAAACTCGACCATCCATGGCACGAGCGTCGAGAACCACATATGGATAGGTGTACTAACATAATACAAATTGCCTATCACAATGGTATGCAATTTGTATTATGTTAGTACACCTAGTGACCTACATGCAACATATATGATGGTTCCGTGTAGAATTGCGTGTGCTAGAGTGGAAGCACGAACTGGTGGGGTCATCTAGTAGGTCATCGACATACCGATCGCCATCTTCAACCACAGGAAATCCGAGAATCAATGTGTCTTCGAGTTGCCGATTCAAAATCCTGAATTCAACGTTCAGAACTTCAACCATACCTGACTTGGGATGAATAGTAAATACCTATTTGATGATCGTTAATCAGAGTTTGAAACGATTGATTATCTTCAATGCTAATGGCAAATCACACATACCTATGATGCTGACAACCAGAAGAGATCAAAGGAAGCCTCGTAACCGTAGGATCTCCGCTACGAACGTTCCAGGGAACAGAAGCTCAACATGTCACCGGGTGAAATACTACATATTTGGGTGACGACTTAATCAAAATTCGAGGGCATGGCCGATTAGGTGAATCAGGTGAACGTTTGAACCGTGTATGTCGTCTTCTTATCAGGCTCGTTGACTGATGCAGAAGTTGCGGCGACACGGCTTGCACGCATGACCTCATTCGTTTAGATCGTCAAGCAAGGTACTTGTGATAATAGCCTCATGTTTTGTGCGTCTAGCGAGAAGTTGATGCTCTGAAGCAGATTTAAAACGTCCCATCACATGCACATCTGCAACTTCGAGCAAGACGTCATTCCCCCCCCAACCCCCAATACACACACCCATCAAATCCACCTCAACTGTGCTGCAACTCCACTAAAATGGTGGCGCTCATTCCAAACACCACACCCATTCGATCATTCGAAGATCACGGGGATCGCGTGATCGCAGTCGCGGTTTTCCGCGACGAACGCATGGTTACAGGCTCGTATGACAGAATGCTTCGCCTGTGGGACTTTAAAACAGGTGTAGTGGTGAAGAAAATGGAGGGGCATCGCAGTCGGGTACGGGCATTGGCGGTATCGCCAGATGGGAAATGGATAGCAAGCGGTGATGAGAGCGGAGAGCTCATCGTTTGGCATGGACAAACTGGGGAACCATGCAGTCAAGCAACCGATCAAGCCCACGTCGGCTGGATATTTTCGCTTCACTTTTCTTCGGATTCCAGGGTGCTGGCCAGTGGATCATCTGACGCCACCACGAAGGTGTGGAGTACATCAACGTGGCAGGGGCCACAATATTCACTCAGTTGTGGTGGAAATGTCCGCTGCGTTCAGTATTCGCCGCATAGTCACTATCTTGCGATTGCAACGGACCACAATGTCCAAATTTACCAGAAACCATACAATTCAAACTATCGTTACGATTACAATCTTCCACCATTCCTGACTCAGTTGATGACAACGATTAGTGGGGCATTCAACTACTCGCTCGCGTGGGCGCCCGATAGCTCACGGCTTTTCTTGGGGGGCAACGGGACTCATCCCACCATACGAGAGTGGGATACATCGACCTGGCAGCAGGTTGGTGATCCATGGAAGGGCCATTTCAACAATATCCACGCCATGTCTCTGAACTCTGGCGGTACTCTCCTTGCCTCCGCATCTCATGACAACCGTGTCCGCCTCTGGCGACTCTCAGATCGACGAAATATTGCCATATTTAAGCACTCTGGGAAGGTGAACTGCGTCACGTTCTCTGCGGATGACAAGCACATCCTCAGTGGAGGTGTGGATAAAAAGATCTCAGAGTGGCCAATATCAGAAGACGCTTTGCCAGAGGATGGTCCCAATGATGGCCTTATGAAGGAGCAGGCGACGTACCAGGTAAGTTTGCTTTCATTTTCCCGCCTATTCATTATCTAAACGTCTTTGTTATGCCAAGGCTCAAGGCTACTCTGATTTCAAGGCATGTTCCCATTTTTGACTCCTATAATGCAATCTGAACATGATTTATATAGATCCTCGCAATCAACTCGACAGCCCGCAACGCGTGCATGGTTGGAGACTGGCCTACTGCTGAAAAGGCGCTAAATCTAGATATTGACAATGACATCAACGAGCACATCGCCTATGCCAATTGAGCATTTGTTATGGCGCGAAAATGTGACTGGGATCAAGCGCTTCAAGATGCATTTCAGGTGAGACTGACTGACCCATCATGACCTCCTTACAAGTGTTAACTTTGATGGCATAGTCCGTCAGCATTCAGCCATCGTTGGTAGGCCATATCTCCAAGGGCATTTCCCTCTGCGGAAAAAAGCAGGTTCTGGCCGCAAGGATATCATTTGACCTCGCATCCCTGTTCACGAACGGAGATTTAAAGACCGATCACTTCCTTTTCTTGATCAAGGCACGTAATATTTTGCTAACATACTCCATCCTTCATTACGATTTTAGGCCGTTGCATTGTTTAATGCAGATGAACATCAAGAGGCAATACTGCGCATTGGAGAGCTAGTTGCGTGTCCCAATGTGGACCCTGTTGCTTGTCGTATCGTGGAAGTGAGTACCATGCGCTCGATCACACCAGGTTCATGTGCTCTCATTTATTTTTCTTGCTCTTCGTACACCAGGCCTACCTACGCGTCCAACTGGGAAATATTGCCTTGAATGGCGCGCGTCACAGCGAAGCTGTTGAACACTTCACTGCCGCCGTCAATGCTAGCACTTTCTTTTACAAATCGCCGATTCATTTGATGTACGACGAATTTGTCGCGGTACGCTGATATGACGCAACCCAAAATTCTTTCGTTCTCAACTACGTGTTTTTCGCAGCTCTTTGGCTGGGACCTCAAGTCCTTGTGGCAAACCGCAAACCAGCAACAGTGCTACGCACTGTTTCGAGCAGGTAGTTTTGGAACAGCCATCGAATCTTATCAGTCCACCATGGGTAAGATTGATGAGGATATGAAGGCCGACTTACGTGCTTGGTTCACTGGTAAGTATTTCAATAACGTCTCCCCGTCTCTCCGTCTATAATCATCAACTGCGCTTCACTCAGCCCTCAAGTAAGATCGAAACGTGCTCTATGCTTCCCATGGAGATGGTGCGCTCGCAGCGGGCGGTTACTCATATAGTTTGAAACAGGGATCCTCGAGTAGTTTTCATTTGTGCATTGACGGTAGCTGTATTGCTCAAATAGCCTTTGGTGCTCGCGTCACAATATACTAGCTCACTTGAACATGTTTACCCTGTTTCTGAATGGCTTTACTGTCACTTGAAACCACTTCTTAACATTGTCTCGTGTCTGTCTTGACGTTTCAGGCAGTGAGTTAAGCGCTATCATCAGATGTGCATTCTAACTTCAAGTTAGTACTTGAAGAAATACCTGCATGTTGAGAAACGCATTCTACAAACTAAAGGAGATGTGGCACTTCCAGTAGCAGTTCAACGAGCACGCTCAACGCGAATCTCTAAATGAAATGATATCCAGAAGAGATGGTTGCGTGAATGCAAGGTATACAGTAAATCATGCAAAGGACCAAAACGTGTAGTTACATCAAATTCCCTTCGCTCCTCCGGTAACAAACTGGACAACCCTGATGGATTTTAGCCCGTACTACAGAAGCGCTACCGAACAAAATCAGAAATGAGAAAAATGTAGATGTATGAACTTACAAAGCTATCTTAGCGCTTACTCCACTGGTGAGTATACTCATGCCTTCACTGGGCTCCTCGTGGTTGTAAATGTCTGTCATGCCATCTACGCAGCTGGCATGAACTACGTGATGACACAAGAATAACAAAAGAAGGTCTTGTGGTGATCGTTGTAGAGGTTGTGTACATAGCACACAAATTGTTCTTGCTAGAATAGGCGTCGGATTTATCAATGACGCAGGAGTACAGCAATAAGTTATCGCACATTTCATGAAGAACCCGCTATTCTGGCCCTTTGAGCGCGTCTTGGCAAGGTCGGAGCTGTCACCATTGAGAATCGTTTGACATCCCTCCATAAGGGAGATTTGAAGATGGAAGTCATGGAGAATCTTGATCAATGCTTCCTTGAGGCCAGGAATTTCCAACCCGTTCTTGATCCGACGAATCAAACGGATGGGGTCAATTTCAGCTCCGACGTTTTCCAGTAGACCGCGGATGAAAGCTACAAAGAGTAAGAGCCATGCAGAAATTGGGTTTCATCAATCGCTTACTCGGACGTGTTTCAGAATATTTGAGAAGGTCTTCCCAAAGGTCGTCATCACTTTGCTCTTTAGCGAACTCGATGGCCTATATTTGCTGAATGTCACTCTTTGCTGGCCTTCATCTGCCAAATCACGTACCATATGCACATCGCCTAGGCGCTCAATAATGAGCGTCAACGCCTTCTTGTTGTTGCCCATGCGACCAAGTAAGAACACCATCTCGGTTACAAGATCCCTGTTCTTGCACTCGTTGTACGCCTGCATGATGTCAGATAACAATGTGACCAGCTTCAA